GGGGGGGGACGAGCGTCCCCCCTCCTGCCCTGCTGAAGCAAAGCAGAGCTCAGAACTTTGGAAAATAAGCGCTGGCACCGGAGGAAGGCAAGGAAAGCTGAAGCGGAGCCCTCTCCCCACCACGTTGGGTCCGAGGCTGGGATGTGTCATCGCTGCCGAAAACTACCTTATTAGGAGAGAAAGTATCGGTGAAAATCTGTTCTTTCCTTAAAGCCGTTGCTGCGAGCCGAGGGCTGCCTGCGGGTGCCAGCCTGCGCTCATTCCTCGGGGGATGACTAGACATGAGCTCAGCAGCGTGGCCGGGAGGTGAGAGCATCCTCTCGCCAAACCCACCGGCCCCGGCTCCTGGAAGCAGCAGGAAAAGCCCCCGGCTCATCCCCGAGGGGTGCCCTCTCCATTCTACCCCAAATAGCAGCGGGGTGAATGTGAGACACGAGTATTTGGTGGTGGCAGAGGCGGGTACCGGGGCTGGGGATCGCCGCGGGGTGGGATGACTCTGCAAAGCCGAGCTCGCCGGGCTCCTGCTGCAGGAGCTGAGCGTGGGGTGATTTACTCCAGCTCGGAGCCTGCCCGCGCTTCAGCTGCACATTCCCTCGCCGTGAGGTTATGCCACATTGCTAAAAGCCCAGCAAGTTTTCCTGGGAGTGCCCACGCGGGTCACACCGGTGCTGCCGGGGCAGATCGGTCGTGACACGGTGGCTGTTCCCAGAGCAGCTCTTGGGTTTGGGTCCCTCACTCTTTGTGGCAGTCAGTCGCTTTAAGAGGGTTTTCTTCCCCTGTTTTGGCCTGTGCCAAAGCTGGCTGTTTGGGTGCAAGCTGTCACCAGAGCATGCAAGGGCAGCCACAGCCGTGCCCAGCTTGCACAGCCCGTGGGTGACACGGAGACGGTCACAGCAGTGGGGTCATGGGGAGAGCACCCCCAGCTCAGCCTGCTGTGGGGCACCTGTGTCTCACAGGGCAGAGAGGAAGGGCTGAGACCTGTTACACTCTGGTTCACGTGTCCTCTCCTTTCCAGGGACCTGATGGCAGAGCCCGAGCCCCCTCCAGAGCTGCAGCTGGATGAAGCCGGAGCATCCTCAGCCCCACAGGGAGAGGCTGCGGCTGCTGCTCCACTCCCAGACCCTTCCCACAGCCCTTCAGACCCAGCGGTGGGTGTGGGGGTGACACCCCTGCATGGGGGCACCCCAGACACCTGCCAGGAGCTGCAGACAGAGAGTGGAGATGCTTCCTTGGAGCTAAACATGCCAGGGCCCCAGCTGGTTGAGGATGCAGCCAGGGCCAGGATCCTGCTGGATGTGGATGTGGCAGGAGTCCCGCTGGATGTGGATGCAGGTGGAGAAGGGATCCCGCTGGATGTGGATGCAGATGGAGAAGGGATCCCACTGGATGTGGATGTAGGTGGAGAAGGGATCCCGCTGGTCCGGCTGGATGTGGATGCAGGTGGAGAAGGGATCCCACTGGATGTGGATGCAGGTGGAGAAGGGATCCCACTGGATGTAGATGCAGCAGGCATCCCGCTGGACGTGGATGCAAGTGGGACAGGGATCCCACTGGACATGGATACAGACAGAGGAGGGGTCCCGCTGCATGCGGAGGCAGGTGGGATGGGGATCCCAGTGGATGTGGATGCAGATGGAGCAGGGATCCCGCTGGCCATGGACACGGGTGGGGCAGGGATCCCAGCTGATGGGGACACAGACGGGGCAGGGATCCTGCAGGACATGGACGCAGAGGGGGCAGGCAGCCCCATGGACGCGGCGGGCGTGGAGCATCAGTGCCTGACCCTCGAGGAGCTGGGGGATTACTTCCAGGAGTGCATCGAAGCCGTCGAGCAGCTGGAGAAAGAGAGAGACAACCTGATCACGGAGCTCTCCCAGCTCCGGGAGCCGGCGCTGCAGGAGATCCGCCACGCCCACGAGGAGATCCAGGCAGCCTGCCGGCTGCTGGCCAAGGTGGAGCTGGAGAGGGACAACCTGAGGGATGAGATCCGGCAGATCAAGCAGAAGCTGTTCAAGGTGACGAAGGAGTGTGTGGCTTGCCAGTACCAGCTGGAGAGCCGGCGACACGACCTCTCCCAGCACGCCGCTTACCGGGGCGAGCTGGAGACCCAGGCTGGGCAGCTCTCCGGAGAACTGTCCCGGCTGAAGGAGACCTGCGAGAAGGAGAAGGAGGTTTTGAGGCAACGGCTGGAGGCTCCCCCCTGTCGGCAGGATAACCTGTACCTGCAGGAGAGCCGCCGGCTCTCCATGGAGTTCGAGAGCTTCGTGGCGGAGAGCCGGCGGGGGCTGGAGGAGCACTACGAGCCCCAGCTCCTGCGGCTGCTGGAGAGACGTGAGGCGGGGGCCAAGGCCCTGCAGGAGATGCAGGGGGAGATCCAGGGGCTGAAGGAAGCCCTGAGGCCCTTGCAGGGGGAGGTCAGCCGGCTGAGGCTGCAGAACCGGAGCCTGGAGGAGCAGATCGTCCTGGTCAAGCAGAAGCGGGATGAGGAGGTCGGGCAGTACCGGGTACGTGCCCCGCCTGGGCACCCCTCCCAGCCCTTCTGTAGAGAGGGGGAGTGACCCTTTGCTGCTGGTGAAATGCTGCTGATGGTCTTGGGACCAAGGGGAGGAGCAGGGGAGATGAGGAGGGGAAGGAGGTGAAGTATCTCCTGCTGGTTGAAGTCAAACGCATCCCCTGTCCCAGCACGGGCCAGGCAAAGCAGCAGCCCTTGGGTACAGGACAGACCTGAGGTTACATGGGTGTGGTGGGGAGGTGCTGATGAGCTGCTGGAAAAAGGTTCTTCCTGTAGATATTCTCCCTTGGGTTTGACCCACCCCTTGGAGAGGGCCCCAGCAAGCAGAGTGAGGCTGAGGAGATGGGAGCTTTCCTTCCCAGAGCAGGCTGGTGGCAGTATGGCCACCACACATTTCCTGCAGCTTGTTCTAGCACAGAAGCTGAGCTAAGGAGCTTGGAAAAGTCTGTTCTAAATACAAGTGGCTTTTCTTTAAAATCTCAGCCCTGCCAGGAAGGGTCTCACCTAGTGTGCCCAGAGCCCAGGGGCTGAGCTGCCTCCCGAGAGGGCTATTTCTGGCTGCAGCAGGCACCCCCCCAGCACCGTGCCCTGAGGGATGAGGCAATTCAATATCTGCAAAAGCACATTTGGCAAAGAGGCTCCACAATTAATCTCCCCCCTTTCAACACTCCTTGTTCTCAGCTCGCAATTGCTGCCTCCTCCCAGCCTGGCTCTGAGCAGCTTCTGGAAGCTGCCATCCCCCTTCCATGGCTTCTCCTCCCAGCTGGGCTGGGGTCCAGGTTGCCTGCTACACTGCTCCTCTTGGATTTCAGGGTCCACTCTCCCTTGGAAGGACAAGACATTGGGGCATCCCTGATGTGCCTCCACATTTTCTTTTTCCCAAATTCCTTGTTTATTTTCTCCTGATCCATGGGTTTGTACAGTCCTGACGGACTCAAAACACACACAAAGTACTGCAAGGGACAAACCCATCCAGCCTGGGGACCCAACACAGTTTAGCCCCAGCTCCCACTTTTAGAATGAAACAAAGCTTTTTTTGCAGAGCTTTTTTAAGATGCTGGTTGACCAGCCACCCCATGGCTGTGCTTGCCCAGACCAACACCCTCAGCAGACAGATCCATCCCTCCGTGCCAGCGTGGGCACTGAGGCAGCCTTCCTCCCCGTGCTAATCCACTCTCATCTTCTGACTCCCCAGGAACAGGTTGAGGAGCTGGAAGACAGGCTGAAGGAGCTGAAGAACGGGGTCCAGCTCCAGCAGCGCAAGAATCAGGAACTGGAGGAGCTGAGGACCAGCCTCCACAGGGAGCTCTCCATCTACAAGTCAGTTTGTGTCCCATCCCTGTGGTGCAGAGGGGCTGGGGAGGGGCTGGGAGGAGGAGGATGGTGAAGAGGCTGGTGGTCACACAGCTGGACACCATGGGGTTTTGCTCTTGGTCCCTGTGGCCAGTGTGTGAGCAAGGGTCTGGTGGGGCAGCACAGCAGGAACTTCAGACATTTGCCATCCAGCAAATAAGGATTGGGTGGAAATTCCTGTACAGGGATGGCAACTTAAGACAGTGATGGTTTCCCCAGGAGTATGGGGAAAGGAGCTGAGGTTCAGCTTTGGGAAACACCACTGTGGATGCTCTTCAGTGAGAGGGAATGATCTGCCTGTGACTGTCTATTGCTGCTTTCATTCAGGTGTTCTTGCTAGAGGATTTTTTTTTAAAGCTCTAGAAAACATCTGTAACTTTGTGGACTGTTTTATTCACCAACCTGGCATTGTTAGATTTTACCCCAGCCTCAGCTCTGCACACTTTTAACCCTTTTTTGTAGCTTCACTGTGACTTGAGTACTTTTTTCCCCTTCCCCACTCGAAGCTCCTCACACAAACACACTGCAGGATACTCCCTCCCCTCAGTAAGTGTAGCTTTCTTTTACCCAGGCTAGACCAAAAGTGACATTCCTTTCTGTTAAAGCTGCTTTGTTCCCCAAAGGTCCACATGCTCACATACTGAGCCAGTTTGTTTCCCAATTATTTTTCTTCTATACTGTGAAAAGAACGTTTTTCATAAATAACATGTCCCCCTTCTCCATTTTCTCCAGCCCCAGCACTTTATGGAGATGTTCAGTAGCCTAAATTTACTTTCTATCCTTCCAGGAGCTGCTTAGAAATCTACAGCCACCTTTGCAAATCAGAAGAGAAAGCAGAGCAGGACTGTTAGGAACGAGACTTCTCCTTGTGGGAGGGATCCACAGGGGACGTCTCCTCTTGCTGCTGACCCCACAGCTGCCTGAAGACAGGGACATGAGACAGTCCTCCCCTTGTGTCTGACTCCTCGAGGTGTAGTCCAGCTGCTTTTCCCCAGAAGAGCAGAGAAAAAGAATACTTGCACTGAAAAAAAAAGGACCTCTGTGCTGAGTAAGAGATGTTATGTTTTGCTGTGTTTGGAAAATGTTGTCTTGTTCTGTAGGTGGGTTGTAGAAGCCTGCACAGAAAGTGTTGTTCTGGAAGACAGTGTTAAGGGGTTGATTTTTAAAGTTTACATGCAAGAGAAGCTTTATCCTTTTGACAGGATTTTCTTTTGTATTTCAAAGGGTCTCTGCTGTATTGCGACGTGCTGAAAGGTCCTTTCCAACCTTAAATGAGTCTATGCTCCACTGGGGGCCACAGAAACTAGTTTGTGGATAGAAAGTTTCCACTTTATATATATAAAGTCTCACACTGAAAATAAAGGTTGGAGTTTAAGGATCCTTTTTAATTCTCAAAGCTGTGTTTTAAGAAGAAAATAAGCTCGAGGGTCAAACCAAGGGGCTGTGAGGTATCCAACTACACATGCTGTGGAGTAATGACCAAAATGGTTCTGTGGCAGGGCTGAAGGTAGACCCCAAACCCAGACAGCAGCAAAGCTTAGTGCATTCATGTCTGCTTGGAGATATTCACTGTTCATTTACTCATTTCTCAAAGAAAACAGCAGAAACAGGACAGGGAGAAACATCTGTGTGTTACAAACTAAGCAACATCCACACCAGGACACTTGGGTGGTGACTACACTCTTGTTTTCTCTGCTCTCTGAAGAGTTTCACTTGACTCTCACCCCAGCAGCTAATGCAGGAGGAAAGCAGTGCAGGAATCACAGAGCTACAGGAGGAAAGCAGTGCAGGAACCACACAGCTACAGGAGGAAAGCAGTGCAGGAACCACACAGCTACACAGCAACTACTTAGAAAAAATTTATTCCATCTGAAGCACTTACACTCAGTTAGTCATGAGGAGCACGGAGAGTAACAGGTTGCTGGTGGAACAGGACACCCTAGTGGAAGATGGGCAGGAACTAGTGGTCAAGGACTAACTCCTAAAAAAAGTAGTTTCTCCACATTTAATTTGCTTTACAGACACCAGCTACCAATGCTGTTGTGGGTTATTGGGCATGCCAGCTGTGGGACATCAGTTGGTAAAAACATACACCTTTACAACTTGGTGGCCCCAAGTTTTAAAAACCATTTCACAGAAAGGAAAGAAATATATGTGAAAACACAGCTCAAGAAACACACAATAGAGCAAAATACATGGAAGGTGAACAATGCTCTGCAGGAGTAGCTAACAAATGGAAACCGCTGTCGCCCAGCAGATGGGAGGAAGGGGAAAGGGAAGAATGAGAAACCCAGAATTACCAGTAGAGACAAAAAAAAAAAGATAGTAAAGGAATTTAATTGCAGTTCAAGTTGGGTTTGTCCCTGCAGAGGCAGAGAACTCCACAAGGTATAGGCTAACTAAAAGAATCTCAAGACTTCTGAGTTATACCAAGGAGGACGAGAACTTCCAAACTCCTTTTCTGAGCTGCCAGTGGATTGCCATTTGTATCATCCCAACTGGCTCAAGCAGACCCTGGCAGCTCTACTAATTAAATTTGTTTAAATTAGGCAAAAGCCAGCAGCTGTAGCAAGCTAAAGAGAGAAGAAGAAAAAAAAATAAAGCCAAGAAACCCGAGTTTGCTCTGGGTGATGAAGGCAGCTACGACAGGAGAACCAGAGGGGGCTGTGGGGAATCTGACCAAGGAGCTACAGCATGGTCCCAGCTGAGCCCTTTTCTGAGGGAGCACTGGGTTAAAAAGCCTGTCAATGGTATCTACAGGAGGATGGCTGAACACAAAGTCTACGTGTGTCTCAAAACCAGTGTTAAAGTCAATATCGGGGTTGAGAGGGAAGAGAAGGAGAAAAAAAAAGGACTAAAATCAGGAGAAGTTTGTCATCTAGGATCCTTGGCCTTCTGGATCCACACTTCCTTCTGGGTCTTCATCATTGTAGATGTTCTCTGCCTGCAAGACAGAGATGGAGGAAGTCAAGAAGAGTTTCTCACCACATTGACCAGGATTCCATCTGTGAGAACACTTCAGTCCTGGCAGATTTTCACCTGCAGTGTCTGTCACCCACCCCTGGTCCCTCAAGGCTTTTTAACAGTAAAGCAGCAACACAAACAGAGGTTTTTGTAACAGCCACATCTCCAAAACATTTCAGAAACACCCTGTAAGTGACTACAGCTTATGGAAATCTGCCTTCTTGAAGTAAGGACCACTGCAAGGCTTATTTCAGTTAACAACTCTTGTGTAGACATTTAGTAGATCCTCTGCTCTCCAGCAGCACCTTCCAAGAGAACTACATGGAAGGCTGCTAAGAACAAAGCCCCCAAGAACCAACAACAATCAGGAGTATGGTCTTGTCAAAAGTAATTCAGACAACACAAGACTCTTTCCTAAAACCTTCTAGAGGAGGCAATTTAAGGCCAACAATTTTTTGTATCAACCACCTCCCCTTCTCCATCTTCAGGAGGACTTTTGTATCATTTCCAAATATTTCATTCAAGACAGCAAATAACAGAATCTTCAACTTCATCTTTCTCACACACATTGTTCAAACATGGAAGGGAAAAAATTTGCTTCTGCACCAGTGCTTTCTCTTTTTTGAATCATGACAAACACAAAACAGCTTCTGAGTATTTGTAAACCACTGTTTTGACCAAAGCCAAAGTAGATTTCACTGTCCCTTTGAGATTTCAGCAGTGCTACAAGGTGTGTAATTCCAAGAGCTGTAAATAAACCCAGGCAGCTCAAACCATCTCTCATCTGCTGCTTCCTGCACCTTCCCCAACAACTTACCATCTGCCAGACTTGCATGATATTGTCTTCTGATACAGAACAAATTACCCAGGGCTCGTTGGGATTCCAGGAGAAATCAGAGATCTTTGCAGTATGACCACCATGGATAAACTAGGATGGGGGAAAGAAAAAAGGGGAATGTTTTCAAATCTACATTGCAGAGATGAATTATTATTCATTCAAAACAATCCATGGGGTTCAAAAGACTCACCAACAGCTCTGGAGGACCATCCTCAGCATCTTCAGGGGATTGCTCCTCCCCAATTTTACTGTAAAAGAGGAAAACATTAAAGGTGGGTGTTGGTTGGTTTTTTTTTTGAAGCCTGATGCAATTCCTCAGTAATAATCTGACAGGACAAGGGGAATCATTTGGGATTTACCTCAGGTCCCAGACATTTAGCCTGCGGTCGGTGCCACTGGAGGCCAGGATAGTTTCATTGTGGGGAGACCACTGAACCTACAGATGAGGATGAATTTGGACAGGGAGTTAGTTTTGAGAAGCTGTAACATGACAGACACTCCCAAGAAACACCACTGCACTCTGTATCACAAAAGCTCCATGAGAATTTAAATTTGAAGAGCTTAGAATGTTATTGTCAGGGATATTTCAAGACAGGAGGGGGGTTTGTGAACATTTATACACTAATGAGGCATTTGAGCACCAAAAAGGTACCTCCTGTAACCTTTTTTCTCACAAAGACTGCATGTTATGGAACAAAAACAGCTCTCAAGGCCATTAGCTGCTCCTTCCCTTAATAAGGATTGCACAGATATAAACTATGAATTCCTTAGGCAGGAGGTAGTTTACACATGAAAAGAAATCACTGTAATTAAGCTTAACTGCCCAAAAGCTCATTTACTACTTCTGCTGGAGATAAATCTCTCCAAAACATACCCCTTAAAAGGATCACAGGATTAGGAAGACAATTCTGCACACTACCCTGACATTTTAAGACTCCATGTGTAATTTTATTTAGAGGCAACTAAGGTCTTAACCAGTAATCCTGCTACAGAAAACCTTTACATATTTCTCTTCTGAGCAAAGGCATGAGGTGGAGATGGAAATATTGTATCAGCTAAGTAGAACCAAGTGTATGTGCATAAAAGACACTTTGTTGTACCTGAAATATTTCATCTTTGTGTGATTCAAAGGAGTGCAACTTCAGTTTTAGGTTCCTCAAGTCCCAGAGAGCAACGGTCTAGGGAAGAAGAGACCAAAAGCATTGTTTTGTTGAAGGAACTCATCTAGATATCCACACTCACACATCAAAAACTCAACAAGTATCTTCCATTCAAAGCAGATGTACCTTATCAGCTGATCCTGTGGCCAGGATAAACTCACTGTAGGGGTTGAAGGAGAGGCAGTTGACTTCAGCTGTGTGTGCATCCACTGAGTGACTGGGTTTGGAGGTGTTGTTTGACCGAGTATCCCAACTGCAGGAGGAAAACATGGAATTGAAACAGAAGTTGATGTCCTATCTCCTTGCACTGAGGGCCTGAGGAGCAGATGGGAAAGCAAGGGGGACAGAAACACTCAGTTCCCCAAGGCATTGTCCCACTTACATCATGAGCTTCTGATCGTCAGCAACAGATCCAAAGAGAGACTCGTGGAGCAGGTGCCAAGACACATCCTCCACTACTGCTGTGTGCCCTGTGAAGATGGTCTTTGCATCCACCACTTTGCCTTCTTTTGGAACAGCACTGATATCCCACAGGCAAATGGTCTTTGAAAAGATTAAAACAGTTTAAAATGGCATCTTTAGACACTCTCTTTACCTCCCCTACCTCCTTTCCCCTTAGAAATAAAACATTTTTGAGCTTTGCCACAGGACACAAGGTGCAGATTGTACCCCAGCTGTATTTGAGGTACTCACATGGTCATCAGAAGCACTGAGCAAATGCCCACTCAGGTTGGGGTTCCAGGACAGCCCATAACCTTCCTTCTGGTGTCCACGAAGACGCAGATCAGGGTTACACTCTCCAGAAGGGTCTGGAAAGAAGTGGTGTGAGAACTCCAGTGCCTCGTATGATTTCCAGCACATCCTGGAATACCTGGCCTTAAATTTCACTGTGTTTTACTAAACTTTGCTTTGACATTTTCAACAGGATCCCTCTACCCTTCTGAGCACCTTCCCCATCTGCAGAATCACCTCATTAAACCAGAATGCACCAAAACAACACAGAGCAGTTCATCTCCTTGGCTTAATAAAAGCACACTGCACATTTTCCCAAGCTGCTATTGATTCTTTTTTTCTGGATGGCCTCACAGTGCTGCATTGGAAGTTAGTGCTATAGGACCTGTGGTATTTTTCTTTCTCTCATCACCTCCAACTGCACTTTGAAAGTGAGAAATGACAGAGTAACTAGTTCTGCCACTGGTGGAGGGGATCAGCAGTTTAAGCTTCATATAAAACATCTTACACTAAAGATCTGCTTTCCCCTAAAATCAAAAATGATATGCAGTCCACAAAACTTAACTTCTTTTTTACTACCTCAATGTTTTCTTGAGGAAGGGCTGGCTGACCTCTGAGCACAGGGAGTACCTGGTTTAGAAGGGTGTTTGGTGTAATCAAAGACAAGGACATCACTGGATGGAGTCTTCGTGGCAATGATGCAGGGGTTCTGTGGCATGTAACGTGCTCTGTTCACTTCCCCCTCGTGATTGATCTTGATTTCAATTTCAATTTTTCCACTAACTGACCCAAAGCCTCCAAATTCTGGAAAGAAATATTTAGCAGTTGTAAATAATAAGCCAGTTTCAGACCAAGACTGGAAGATGCAGAGTCCATGGGTGGTGCTACCAAGCACTTGAGTGAAAGAATTGTCACAAGAACAGCTCCAATGGAAAGAGTCAGGTTTCCAAATGATATTTTGTTTTAAAAATCTGCATTTGTAACATGAAAATCTCAGGACCTTGGCCAAGTGAAAGGCCATTTCTTCCTGAAAATTTGTTGCTATTTCAAATTTAACAATGCAAGCCCCAAATTAATCCCATTTAGAACTGCAATGAAGAGATGTACATGTGGAACAGATGTGCTGCGACTGCACTTGTAAATAGAACAAAATTCAGCCTTGTAAAATAGTCACTTTTGGTAAAAGCAAATTGCTGCATCAAATGTAAGACAGGGGACTCCAACAGCACTTGCTAAAGCTGCCTTGTCTTTAGAAGGAACTTCATGTTTCACAAAACTGCACAGCACTGCTCTGGCACAGGTTTTTTTGGGTTGGTTTTAAATTGGAGTAGTGTATTTTTGAGAAATGCTAAGACAGAATAGAAACCAAGTGTCTGTTAGACAACACTGTGTTCACAAAACACTCTCAGAAGCCCAAAGATCAAAATACAAATTGCACAACCCAGGCTGCCAGTAAAAAGATCAAATATGGGGTCACTGAGGGCTTTCACCAGGTAGAAATGATTGATCCAACCAAGTGACAATGAGAACTGTCTAACTTGGAGGAACACTGACAGCCAACTAAGATTACAGAAGGCACTGAATTAAAATCCAATACACCAATCAAAACACAATAATCTTTTTATCCAAGAGGGGCTGACACAACTATTGAGCAGCAGAATTCAGACAAGAGGACATCAGAAATGTTGCCCTCCTCTGAAATATTCTTTCACATGAGTGACTTCCTCACTGGAAGAACATATCCCATGCAAAAGTGGTAACAGATATAGCAATAAGGAGGACTCCATGAAATTCAATGTCCATTCCTGATGGGAAATAGAGGGGTGAGGTTTCCCTCCACACATGTACAATAAGCCTGACTCTTTCCATCATTATATTATTAAGATCATTTGAAAAACAAAAGCATTTATCTGCTAAGCAAGGGTACTACTTAGAAATAAAGAAGTTTAGAAGTAATATCCAAACTTTGCTGCCTGAATCTTAAGGAAAAACAAATATTCTTCAGAGAAAGGAAGGAAGAACTGGTTTGAACTGCCCACAGTGGGCTCCTTGGGTCCCTTACCTCCTTTCTCACTGTCGTAGTGGGAAGCATCGAACTGCGCGTCGTCGTTGGGCAGCTGCACACTTGCTATCACCAGGTGGTTCTGCTCATCTGAGGTGTGAGTCCCCAGCACCAGCCTGTGAATGCTGAAATCCTTCCCTTCAGGTCTGCAAGGGAGAGTCACAGGGCACACACAAGTTTATGCAGCTATAGAGCCTATCACGACAGCTTCTGATGGCAGCTTTAGCGCTAGTCACGCTCTTTAAGGTTGTCACTGACTCTCCTGTTCTAGCACTGCTTCCTCTGGAGGAAATCACTCATCAGAACTCAAGAGCTCAGCCTAAAATTCATGCAGCACAATGGTGACAGACCACCAATCCCACGCCTTGCTGGAAGAGACCTCAGCAGGACCCCCCAGGTACCAGCCTGAGGGCCTCGAACATTCGCTGCCAGTAGAACATTGTCATGGAAGCTCAGGACAAAGTGGTGGTTATACAGAAATTAGATTTAGTTCTATTTTTTTTTGTCCTTTTTTGCTTATGAAAGGAGAGGGTGAAGTCAGGAGAACAAGGAAATCAAACGTGCAAAAATATCTTCTCAGTAAAACAAGCCATTTTCCCAAATTCAAAGGGTCTGTACTGACCAGCTTTCCAGTGTTCAGGGTCCTCAACTTGCTGTTGGCAACAGTACAAAAAAATCATTTGGGCAGAAAGCAACCACACATTGCCTTACTTTAATAAAAACTGATTCTAGATTTGCTATTTATTCTGCTTTTCAAAAGGCAAAAGGGTCAGTTTACCTTGTTACATCAGGAAGCCACTGAGCAGTCAAGCTGGGCCATTCCAGAGCATGGGTCATTACCAAATCATATAGGAAGGGGGTGTTCTTTTTCCATATTTTATACTCCTCATTGATCACACGTTCTTCCACTGCATCATCAAAGGCTGCTAAAGGGTTTTTTTTAAAAAAAAAATGCATGCAATTAGGGTTTATGGATAAATCTACAACATACACACAACGCTGTGAGTGGATGACTGAATAACGAGCCAACTACGTGACACCCTGATCTGCTGTTAGATTACTCAAAGTAGTTGCTAAACGATGAAAAATCCTGTTGCACACGCTAATCCTTGCTTCTGGATGTACGGCTGGGAATTAATATGTCCCATTTCATCAGCTCAACAGAAGCAGCACAATACAACGCTGAAACTTGGCGCAGGGTGTACTGTGGAGGCAACACCCAGAGCTGTAAAGATGTTTAAATTCGTGAGGCCCAGCAACCGGTGCTGCTCCTCAGAGCCGTCCAGGCGCAGCCCTGAGCTGCCAATTCCCGAAATCCAGTTTTCCAAGGCTCCTGCTCGTTCCCCCCGCGGCTGGACGGGCCGGGAGCAGCCAGCTCTCGCTTTGTCTGCCCTCGCCAGGCAGCTGCCCGCTCCCCTCACCGGGCACGGCGCTCCCGCCGCCCTCCCCACCCTCACCGGAAAAAAAAACACCACAAATTCCTTCCTTCGGGCGCGGAAACAGGTCAAGAGGCGGAGCGGGGGTGCGGGCGGAGGG